TTTTTTTTTTTTTTTTTTTTTTTTTCATTTCTTTTTGGTGCTTCTTGGACAACGGCTCCAATTGGCTCAGCAAATTGTCCTGCATCATTATCCATTCCAGCATATTGGATTTTTTTTTCTTCTTCTTCTTTTTTTTATCGTTGGGATTATCATTCTGTTCTCCCTTTCGCTTCAGGGCCTTCTTCTTCCCCCTGCCCGAGTCGCCATTCACGTCGCTGCCCGTATCACTTCCCACGCCGTTGTCCATATCACTTCCCACGTCGCTCCCCTTATCGCTTCCCAAATCACTTCCCACGTCACTTCCCATGTCACTGTCCGTATCACTTCCCACGTCGCTGTCCAGGTCCGCCCCCGTGTCTCCGTCGTCGCCCTCGTCGATGAGCTCCCTCAGGCGGTTGAACTTGTTCGACGCACGGTCCCTCTTGGAGCTCTTTTTGGAGTTAACCACATCATCCAACTGCTCCTCTCCACCAGTTTCGCCATCTCCAGGGGTGGTCACTTCGGAATCTCCTTTACTTAGACAAATTTGTTCTTCGTCCCTGGACGGGGCAGAAGCGGAGTCAGAGCCATTTTGCTCCCCGGCGGCCTCAAAGTTTTCCACAAAAATGGGCGTCTCTTGCGATCCACCCTTTTTGCCCTTCTTGTTGCCCTTCTTTTTGCCGTCCCCCGCACCTTCAGTGCTTCCTGCAACAAGGGAATTGTAAAAACCCCTAAGAGCTTTAGTAGCATAAGTATTTTTGCACTTTGCAAGGTACCTGCGAATTCTCTCCTCCAGCATACTTTTCCCTACATTTAACTTCAACATGACTGAAAAAATTTTATTTTTAATTACATCTACTATGTGTTTTTTTTCTGTCTTGCAAATAATTTTAAAGAAAAAGTCCATCAGTAGGACAAAATTCTTTATGTGTACCTTTTCATTTTGATCCTTGGCTTTTAAATAAAATTGGTTTCCAAAAAATTCTTTAAAAAATGTATCAATGTGATTGTAAAAAACGTCATTTGTATCGTCAAACATTCTGACCATTATTTTATTATACCTCCTGATGTAATAACTGCGCCATGAGTGCCGATGTAGGAAGAGGAGAAACTCTGCTTGGAATACTTTGAATAAAAATAAAAACTTGTTCATGCGGTACAGGTCCAGACAGTCATATTTATTAGACATAACTTTTAAAAAACTTTGTAAAAATAAAAACACGCTTTCTTTTTCTTCACTTTCATCCGCCTCATCTATGTTTCTTAAAATTTTGCTTATTTTGCAAGCAGCTACTTTTTGCTCTTCTAATGAGTAACATAACCAATAATAATAAAACAGCCCTTTGCAAATGTAAGACAAATTATGTCCATCCAGGGGTACTTTTTTTTCTTTTATATATTCAATCAGGACTTGTATTCCCGTGTCCCTTTTTTCTTTATTCACGTGGCACAGGTCAACAAATAATAGCTCGATTTCTGACTTTTCCGTCTTTTTCTTCCCTTTTTTTTTTTTTTCTTCCATTTTTTTTTTTTTTTTTTTTTGTAAGGGGCAAAAATCAACGTTAAATTGTCTTCGTTATAAGACTTTTCTTCCAATCCACACTTTTTACCTTACACTTGCTTGTATTTGCACTAAGGGGGCCACGTTCTGGGGAAGGCAGACCGTGTAAGGATTCTAACCCTGTGGACACTCCTTCAACTTAAGTGTAAAGACGGGGGGGGCATATGCCCTTAAAATAATAAGTTTGTTGCAAAATGTCCACAAGTGGGTTATTAAAACATACGCGTATGCAAAAATATTATTAGCAAGCGCAAAAAAGGGGGACAAGGGGGACCTCCTCTCGTGAGGTGGCTTATTCTCATCTGTCTTCTGTTTATGATGTTAGCTCAAAGTGAATAAAGCAAATGCTTTCCCTCCTTTGAAACGTTTTATTGTCTCCTCATTTCCCATCTACATTCCCCCCCGTTGCGATTCTAGAGAGCAGGGTTCGAAGGAACGTCAATTCGGGATTCTTCACGAGGAAAAGAAAAACGTTAAAGCACGACTACGGGGGGCAGGCATACGACAGTTATAGAAGTATGTACATATAAAAAAAGTGATGAAATGTTCCCTTGAAGCTCCGGCAACGACATTATATAATATATGAAGGGCGGGGAAATGCTGAACAGATTTTTTGTTTTTTTTTTTTTTTGCTGCCCCCTCCCTTTATATATATAGGCTGCTTCAAAAATAGGAAAACTTTTCCATACTTCTGTGGCCCGTGCCCCTCGCAAAACAAAACAGTAGAGAATTTGTGAACAACCGCTGTGGATCGTTCCTGTTGGTACAGGACCTTTGTGTTTGGGTTTGCGCTTCGACTTCTACTTCCTTTTCTGCGTCAGTTTTTTTTTTTTTTTTTACGTGAAGTTTTTTACAAATTGAGGGATGGATGGGGCCAACTGGGGGGTTTTTATATCATTAATTAAAAACATGTATTTTATAAAATGGAAAAAATTCGAAAGAAACAAATCTGAAAAGAAAAAGATGCAAAAAAAAAGGTTGGAAAAAAGAAAAAGTTGCAAAAGGAAAAAAAGTAGGAAAAGGAAAAAGTTGGGTTGAAATTGCTTGCGAATTTTCTTCTCCTGAAGCAGATATTATATAATATATATATACATATCTATTGGTTTTTAAAATTTAAAAAAAAAAAAAAAAAATTATTTAAAATTTATAAATTGTAAAAGTTTGAATTTAATTTTTTTTCTTTTTTACTTTTTAAAAAATTATTTTTTCAACCCATTTTTTAAATCATTTTTTGAATGATTCTTTGAATTATCTTTGTTTTAAAATCGCTTTAATATTAAACCCTCTTTAAATTTTTATTTTCCCCCCAGCAAGTTTTGTTGTACGCATTTTTTTGACGCATTTTTTTTTTTTTTTTTCGCTTTTTTAAAAAAGGCAGTTCGATTCGTCCCATAGGATAATTTTTAATCGCCTTTTATAAATCGCAGTCAAACCACCTGCAACGCGCTCCTCCGGAACGCTGAAGGGAAGAAACGAAAAAAGAAAAAACTCTTCATTGATGTATTTCGACCGATGTACATCTCCGATATACTTTCACCCAGGTTAACTTCTCCTCACCATGATTATGTCACTAATGCCAGTGGACCACTCACTGCAAAGGGAGGCAACCGCAGCCGTGAGGGGATCAGATGATAAAATTCCCGAAATGGCCAAAAGTGTTTTCCCCCAGATGCAGGATTGGTACCAGTCTGCAGGGTTGAACTCTCGTTTTTAAAACCACAAATTCAGTAGGCCGTGCACCAAGGGAAAAATAAAACACATGGGCTCGTGCCCCTCCATGGCAGATTATGAACTTATTATGGAGTCAACGGTTAGAAATGTACTTTTGTACACTGCTTTGCCGAGTGAATGGCAAAAAGACGAAACGAAAAAAAAAAAAAAAAAACGACATACCCCCATAAAACATCGTCGATGTGTCGAAAAAGAAAAAAGACAAAAAATGGGAAATGTGAAAAAAAAAAAAAAAAAAAAAAAAGAGGTAGGGGAATTATTATACTCCCATTGGTATATCAGGATGCAGGTCCAGCACATCCTTTCAACACTTAAACCGGTGCAGCTGCATGAGGAAGAATTCGGCAGGATACTTTATGTGGCCATGTACACAGAGTACTGTGCACAAGAAAAATAGGGTCGGTCGGGCGACGGAAAGGAAAGCAATACGTGCTCAGTGCACGTACGTAAAATGCGGCAAACGTGTTTAATACGTACGATTTGTTTTTGTTTTTTTCCTGCACATGCTTACGGACGCCAAACCTCCGTAAAATTACCCCATGTGTGGGTTATGCCACAACAGTGTACATAACATGCACACACCCCAAAATGGTAAAATTCTGTTTTGCCAAAAAGTAACCCATTTTATTCAAAACCATTCGATCTGTTCACTCGCACAAATATTGAGCAATTCTCAACTTTTGCTAAAAATAAAAATAAAAAAAAAAAAAAAAAAAAAAGCTTTCTCCTCCATTTCGCATTAAACTTAATTGCAACGTATGACAAAGGAACGAATTTTTTTGAGTTTCTCATTTTTCAGCCAGGGCGTAGTGGCATACACAACACCAGTGTATCACCATCCGTGCTGCAATTGGGGGGTATTAAAACCCTACTAAGTTGAAAGGGCATATCCTGGTTATTTGGCCAGGAAAAAAAAAACAACACTGCTCAGACCCCTGCCCATGTGCACAGTGTTTATAACCCATGCACACAATACTCTGCAAGTGATCACCTTTGGTAAAATTTGTTTCTCCACTTGGACTCCATTTCTCTTACGCCAACTCTTTTAACCTGTCGTTTCGGCGATTTAGAAAAATTGGCTTTTTGCCAGATCGTTTCACTCGCCACTTCACACACATAAATCGATCCGCAGCCTGACCCCACTCCGAAGAAGCGGGAACAACTTTCCCCCTGTTGTGAATTATCACCAGTGTGTACACCTATCCCACACTGTTCGTATTTACGGGGTGCACTATTATGTCCATCTCTACACAGAACCAACAATTCATGCCAAACACGGCATGCTCTCCCCCGTGGCAAAAATGTTAGAAGTCTCACGTTGTACATGGTCATCGGAACTCCGTCCAATGTGTATAGGGAGAGAAATGGGGAAACAAATTTTAAGGTCTCCTTTATTTTTTATTTTATTATGTATATTTTTTTTCCCCCCCGCTCTTCTAACACTTAAGGGGGCGCTACAGTACTTGTAACACTGAACGGGGTCTCTTCTTTCCGCCCCCGGCACCCGTTGAAACGTCACGCGAAACTAATATATAAAAAGAGGGGATTATTATATAACAAAATCGGATCGCAATCCAGGCTGGAATAAGATGTGCCCAATTTCCGTTTCTTTTCCTTTTCGCCCCCGAAGGGAACCCCCCCAAAAAAAAGCGCGTATAGTGCCCCCATGTGCGCATGCCGAAGAGAGGCATTTTCATTTAGCGCGCAAAGAGAAAAATATACACGCCACAAAGGGGATATAGCACCAAAGAGCGCGATAAGAATATTTATTGGGCGAAAAGGGGTAAAACAACACCCCTCCACACCAAGCGGTTCCCCAGGCGTATCTCGCCCCCATGTGAACGTCCGCTTTAAGGCTGAACCCATTCGTAAAATACAACAAGTATAGGAGAACAAAAAGAGGAACGTCTTTTCCTCTTCAAGTGAAAGTATTCGTAAACACCCCACACATGTGTGTTTACCCCCCCCCCCCCCCAGATCACCTAAAGCAACAAAATGAGCAACAAAAAGTGGGGGAAAAACCTCCTCTACGATGATTACGAGGACGACTTAGTGGACTACGACAATTACGATGA